CGAGATCTTTAAATTAACATTTCCATGTCAATGAATCACATTTTAGCACAGAGCTAAAAGCTATTTCCCACAGGGTTAAGTTTAATCTCTTAGACAGCGACAGCATCTCTCAGCATTCCAGACAGAAATGATCCAGGCTGACTTTAATGCAGCTAAGTGGTAAATTAGCTTCATATTGGAGCATTAAGCATCATCAGATTGTAGTAGAGACCTTATTGTCGAGAAGATTTACAAAAGCTGGAAATTATAAACCAATTAAATGGGTTCATGAGGCAAAGGTAAATGTTTAAAACTCCTAAACAAAATCAAAAGGTGTCATAAGAACATATTTAAACTAAATCTGCAAGTCATGTTTAAATTCCTCAACATCCTTCCTCTGCTGCTATCAGCCTGTCTGCTTCTCTCCATCCATAAGCAGCGTAGCGCTCTCAGCTAAATGTCATCTTGAATCTGTCGAGGGGAAACAAGCAGCTGATTGCTTGCTTTAGAGAAGTCACAGCCAAACATGTATCTGGTTAACATACTTTGTCTTCCTCTGACATGAAACAGAGACATCAATGAATCTCTGATCTTACCACAGCAGGGCTTAGGTTTAAAAAATCATGCAAGACTTCTTAAATAAATTCTTAAAATGTCAGTGAAAGCAGTTGTGGGCTGGACGGTGGTGCAGTTGGTAGCAGGTTCAAATTCTGGTTGCAGCCTTGCTGTGCAGAGTTATCATGTTCTCCTCGTGTGTGTGTGAGAATTTTCTCTGACCCACATTCAAACATGAATGTTATGTTTATTGGAGACATAAAGGGTCTCTAGATGTGAGTGAGTGTGTGACTGGCTGCTTGTCTCTCGTTTGACTCTAGCTAACTCTGCCATGGTCTGTCCATGTCTCCATCCTATTGCCTGATGCCTGAGTGAGGCACCTAACTCCCTGTAACAACCCAGAGAGGATTATGTGTTCACATAAAGAATGGATGAATGAATGTGCTTACAGAAACTCGTCACTAAAGACAGCAGATTTTGTTCTAACTCATTTTACTGTGTATGTGTCAAATGCAGCATACTGATGCTTTAGGGGAAAATGCTAAGAAAACTAATGTAGGAACAAGCAGATAAACAAAAGCGAGCAACAGCAGACCATCAGCACAGCTCCTTCAAAGAGTCTAAACTAAAAATGTGACTAGCAAAAATGGCCTGTATTTGATATAGCACCTTCTAGAATTCTACAACCCCCCAAGGTGCTTTACAACACAATCATTCACCCATCAAACACACACACTGGTGTTTTTTTATACCATGGGGAAGGGGGAGTGTGTGTGTGTGTGTGTGTGTGTGTGTGTGTGTGTGTGTGTGTGTGTGTGTGTGTGTGTGTGTGTGTGTGTGTGTGTGTGTGTGTGTGTGTGTGTGTGTGTGTGTGTGCGTGTGCGTGTGTGTGTGCATGTGTGCCGGAGGATGAGTGTTGTGAAGGGGTTTTTATTGTCAGACTGTTTTTAAAGTTCTGGGGATGGGAGGGAATGTGGGTATGCAGGGCCTTTTTAATTTGTTAAGCACTTTGAGTTGCATGTATTGTAGGATAAAGTGATATATCAATAAAAGTTGATTGGTGAGGCACGCACAGCTGGTCCAACTGTCCCCACTTCTGTCTCTGAGGTCTACAGACAATTCCTTTGACTTCATGATTGGTTTGTGTCTACAGTAGGACCTTAAAGAGACAGGTGAGTGTCATTCCAATTCATATCCAATCAGCTGGATTTACCACAGGTAGACTCCACTTCAGCTGCAGAAACAGCGAAGATTAATCAGTGTAATTAGGATGAGCTTAGCTTGGATCTTCATGGCTAAAGCCATAAATAGTTACACTCGTGTGATTTCTTTGTTTTCAATGGTTTGATACATTTGCAAATATCTCAAAACTTGAGTTCTGTTGTGTGTGGGATTTTGTGGAAGAAAATTTACTTAATCAATTTTGGAATGAAGCTGTTATGTAACAAAATGTTGCTAAAATTCCTACTTTTCAGATGTTCTGTACTTCATCACACCACAGTTATTGGTGTTATGTTAAAAAGCACAAGGCTAAATAAACCCTAGGCATTATTATTACATTTATTTTAAAAAAAAAGATTTGTATGAAACATTTTTTATATAAACAAGAGGTGGTCTAGTACTCATCTGTCCACTCCAGATGCTGTGTTAACAGGGGGATTTCTTTAAACATGTTTTCAAATTATAGGAATGAATGGTTTATAACAACTTTCAAATAAGTTTTATTTTGAAGTCCCACATCAGATTGGGATGAAACAATTTTTATAAGAAGTAGAGGTGGTCAAGTACTAATCTGTCAACACCAGATGCTGGCATAACAGCATTAAAAAATAATTCAAAAAAGAGGAATGAATGGTTTATAAGCATTTTCAAAGAGGTTTTATTTTGAAAATGGAAAGCTGATCCTTTAGCAGATAACTCACTGCTAGATCGTCTTCTGTTGGGGCACCTACACATTTTCTTTTAAAGGTGTGGTTCATGGAAAAAAAACATTTTTAATTATTTCTGATTTTAATCAGTCACCCACAGTTTTTCATGCACGTGGAAATTCTGTCCTACTCCTATCTCCTGCATGATCTTCTGATAGAAAATAGACATTGGAAATTTGGGATTTGAAAATCCTGACAGATCTACAACACACGGTCACATTCATGGACTTGGTTTAGCATCCAGGGAACATTAGCAACTTGGCAGGAGCTTATGTTATTTGTTGAGATAAAACAAAAACATTGCAGAGCAAATAGAATATTTCCAAACATCAGGAAATGAGTCTCCAAATTCTGTTGTCTGATGCTCAACTCTGATGTGGCTCACTTCTACTTCCTAAAAATGAATACAACATACAAGGCATTAATTCTTACTGGAGCAGGGGGGCCCAATCCTGGTCCTGGAGGGCCGGTATCCAGCATGATTTAGTGCTTTCTCTTCTCCAACATACTTGTTGGTTGAATCACCTCAGCAGCAGCTCATCAGGCCCTGCAGAAGCATGTTAATCACCTGCTGATTGAAAGCAGGTGTGTTGAAGCAGGGTTAAAACTCAAACATGGTGGATACTGGACCTCCAGCACCAGGATTGGGCATCCCTGTACTAGAGACTGTTGTAAATGTATTGATTAAATGAGTAAACCTCTCTCTCTTCCACTTTTGTCACACTGCTGAACATTTAACTTTGGCCACTTATTGTGAACTTTATTAAGCTTTTCTCTCAGCTTTTATTAAACTCTTACTTGATCAATTTCTTGCTAAATGTTTTCTAATATTGTACAAAACGTTACAAATAACCATCATAGTAGGCTAGGAACAGCTCACTTTAGGATGAAACACTTGAATGCATCATCAAATTATTGAAATTGAGATATTTGTTGGTTTCCCTTCATAGGAAACAAACAGAAGAACTGACATCACTCCTGTTCTACTAACATTCTGTCTAGTCCTGATTAGTCCTTAGCTTCTCCTAGTGTTGGACCAGGTTTGTTTTTGCTGACTCGTAAGACTTTGTGTGTTTTTTTAATACATATTCTTTTAGTCTCCCTGCAACAGTGTGTACCAGTTTCTTCAGTGTTAATTTTCAGTTCTCTGCTTCATTTGTCTGCAATAAGCAGGTGCACATGATAAATGACCCGCACTTGTATAGAAGTTTTCAGAGTCAGAGGACTCCAAAAAGCTTTACTGCAGTGTATCATTCATCCATTCACTCACATTCACACACTGATGGTGATGGGCTACATTGTGGCCACAGCTGCCGTGGAGCACACTGACAGAGGCGAGGCTACCGAACACTGGCTGTCCCTCTGACCACCACCAGCAGCTAATGTGGGTTAAGTGTCTTGCCCAAGGACACAACAGCAGGGCTCTCTAGGAGCTAGAATTGATCCCACAACCATCTGATTTTTGGACAACCCGCTCTTCCTCCTGAGCTACATCAGCATAACCACAGCTGCTTTTTAATGTCCCCTTCACTCTGGGTCACTTGCTCTTCATCCGTCTTTCCGGCCCTGAGATCACAATGCTGTAAATCTGTCCGAATCAAACCTAAAAACACACAATGTAATCATTTTGTTTGTGCGTGCTTTACTTTATATTTCTGCGGGTTTATTTCTGTCCTTTTTGTACAGTATTCCCTAAATATCCACAACTTCACATCACCCTTGCCCTTTGATGCATAATGGTCACTACAGTGGACAGGTACTCAAAATTGTTATTTATTTATTTATTTTTGCTATTAAGCACAGCTGTTGAAGACTTTATTGCATTTGAGCCCCTCCATTTGGACTTCAGTAAGTCAAGCCAATTATTTCATGTTCAGAATGCATGCTGTCCACTGAGGTGGACATGTAATAAACTATGTGTAAATTAAATGTTATAAAAATATGTGTGTCATTCACACCTGAATTAATGAAAAAATCGTTTAAAAAATCATGGTTGAAGATTTCATAATTCATGCATCAAAGGGTTAGTCACATCTGTGCAAGAAAAAAGAAAAGTGGGTTTTACGTTTTACTGTTTAGGATATTTGTGACTGTTTAATTTTATTTACTTTTCTTTAACATTTTTTAAATCCCTTGAAATCTCTCCAGCGCATCACCATAAACATACAATTTACCATATAGCACCAACCAAGTTAAAACGTGTCACACATGTAATCCCCTTTTAAAACAGTTGTGCTCCACAGATGGGGTAACTTTGAGCCTTTTACGCATCTTGGAATGAAAAATGAGGAGAGAGATGTGGAATGGTCGATGTTGCAAAGGAAAGAAATGCGTTACTTCTTCAGCTGAGTGAATAAATAAAATAAAGTGAGTTTCTGTGAATGTCCACACGGAAATCTGCTGACAGTGGTAGTGGTGGAGAGAGGCATCGAGAAGGAGAGAGAGAGAGGAGAGAGAGAGAGAGAGAGAGAGAGAGAGAGAGAGAGAGAGAGAGAGAGAGAGAGAGAGAGAGAGAGAGAGAGAGAGAGAGAGAGAGAGAGAGAGAGAGAGAGAGAGAGAGGTTCCCACCGCCCAACAAATGTGTGGAGGGAGGAGGATGAGAGAGAGCTGGGTGATGATGATGATTGGACTCCAACTCATCTAGACTCCAGCCCTCTCATCTGAACTTCAGACACACGCAGCCTGTTTCTACTCCGTCTGAAGATGGACTCTCGGCTCCACATCGGACCGCTCGTCCCGACACCGGACCCGACTGCCCGGTCACCCTGGAATATCAGCTCCATCAACCGGCTCACGGAGGTGTCTCCAGCCGCTCCAGCTGTAAGTCCATGAGTTTTATTTCATTTAGCTGATTGTTTCTTCCCCAGACATCACATTTAAATTTGGCGTGGCTGGAGATATTTTGCGCGCTTAAGAAGCGCAACAAATGCTGGTGCGGCCGCGTAAAACCCGCGTTAATGAATGAATGAACGACTTATTCCTTCCTCTCAGCTCTGTTCATTCATCATCTCACCTGAATGAAGGCGGCTTTTACTGTGGTTTCCAAACACGTGTTATATGGATTTATTTTGAGTGTTTCCTGAGGCTTTGTGGTACATTTAGGAACATTTGCTCATGTGGTCCAATAATCCCTCTACTGAAACATGTTCCTTCTAAAATGCATCAACAGGCGTTGGTCACATTTTCGTCATGTTGTCAGTTTGCAGCTTCGTGCTCTCGGATTTTAACCTAGGACATCAATATAACCGCATGTTTGTTACCTTAATTTAAATGTCTTTGCTTCATCTTGGAGTTCCGCCAGGTTAATATACTGTTTTGTCAGGTTTTCTGGAATCAGACCAGTGTCTCCCTCTGTCTGAGAGCAGGATTAGTTTACCCACAGCCTTTAGGGAAATCCTTCACCATGTCCATCCCTGAGATGTGCCTCATATAGAATACAAAAAGAAAATACACGTATTCAGCTCTTGCTCTGCAGGAGCCCAGACAGACATTAGATAACAGCGATATGAGACAGATGAAATAATTGGAAGGATGAGGATATGCCTGCTGTGACTTCAGTCCTACAAGTGAGAGGGGTTCGGTTCTGGTTCTGACTTTAAAGGTCAAACCAGCAAGCTTCAGCTCTTTGGGTCTGATGTTTATAATGGGAGAACGTGGATACTGGAGAAGAGCCTGGAGGCAGATTCAGCAGAGACAGATGGGCCTTCTCTCTAAAATGATGAAAACCTCTTTTTACATTCTTCTTTAAAGTTTTCTTTATCTCCAAAGACTCGGCTGCTCTTCTCTCTCGACCAAATAGTTTCTGCATGTTTAGATATCGGTGCAGGCACAGTAATGAAAGGGTTTACTCATGAAAGAAAGTAATGCATTCATTTTAACTGTCCAAAATAAGCAGGTGGTCATTATGAGATTTTCTTTAAATCTTAATGAATGTGTTAATTAGTTTTTTAAGACATGGAACACTGAAAAAACATTTTAATGATTATGATCAGTCACTGAGTTTAAGATGCAGGCTGAACATGAAATAGTCTCCTACACATATCTCCTTGATTAGCATCCGACAGAAAATAGACAACAAAACTTTGTCACACTGTCATCTGGATGGACTCACTCATCACCCATCTTGACTCATGGCGAGGAAGGCTGTTGTTGGTTTAGCATACCAAACACAGCAAAGGACATCTCGACTAGTTTAGGCTAATCATTAGCATTAGCAGCTTCATCACACAGCAGAAGCTCCTCCAGGCTTGTGTTATTTGTAGAGTAGGGTTGTCACGGTGTGAAAATTTAACCTCACTGTTATTGTGACCAAAATTATCACGGTTTTCGGTATTATCGCGGCATTTTTTTAAACATGTTAAATTTTCAGGAAACTAAATAAACCCTGTATATCAGGAAATATTGTCCTCAGTTTGTGTCTAAATTTTGCCTACAATTTGTTATTTTGTAATAGGGCTGCACAATATATCGAAAAATATCGTCATCGCGATAACAGGACGTGCGATAGGCCCATCGCAAAGCACGTCAAAAACGGCGATAAATGTTTGGTTCAAACATTTCCATCCGTGTCATACATCAACTTTTTGTAAACCAGCTCTGTTTTTTACGCGGAAGTATTATTTGACCAATCAAATGCAGACCTTCTGATATGCGGCCAATCAGATGGGTCTGTTCACGTAATACGCCCGCCCCCTACTTAGACCCTTACCCCAAAATTCCACTATCTCCGCCCCGCTCTCCGCTGCCGCTCCCTTCCCTTGTTCGTCATGCTGGCTCAGATTAACGAACGCACTTTGTACTGAGGTCATACTTTAGTATTTGTTCATTTATCGTGAGTAATATCGATATTGCAATATTAAGCACTGTTATCGAATATTGCAGGTTTTCCTAATATCGTGCAGCCCTATTTTGTAATTATGTTGTTTATTTGTTTACATTTTTCCCCTTTAGTCTTTAAAATACCAATATTTGCCCATAACTTCTTATTTTTTGTCTGTTTGATGTCATCATTTAAAAAAATTAGATCAGATGATACTCAGTACTCAAGTAGCCTTCTAATCAGATACTTTTTTTTACCCTTACTTGAGTAATAAACCCTATATCAGGAAAATATTGTCCTCGGTTTGTGTCCTTCCAGTGAGCTTTGCAGATGTGGGAAAATGTCATCAGGCAGTAATCATTGTTAAATTCATAATTATTCTCGGAGAGAGACCAACTCTTATCTGCCCCTGGGAGCCCCGTAATGCATAGTGTCATTTCAACATGGGGGTGTCCGGGACACGGTTTATATGCAGGTAGCGGCACTGCGGCAGCTTTATATAGCGACTCGTTGCATTCTCCCTCAACCCAAATCCTCAGGTCACGCATTTTAGATAAAACACTAACGCTAACTTGCCTTGTGTTGACTGTAGAGTTGTGGGTGATGGTCACGCAGATGTGTCATGAGATTTGAAGCATTGCTGCCTTTCACAGGCACTTTTTTTGCACGTGCTGCAAACAGGATAGCCGTCTTCTATCAACTGTCCCTCGGCATTCTTCAAATATCCAAAACATGCCCATACTTCCCACTTTCTCTTCTTTGAGGGATAAAAAATGTCCTGAGCACTGCCATTATTTCAGCTTTAGCTTCAAGAAAGTTTTGGTTGTAAACATCAAGGTGCGCACGTGCCAACGGCAACTTCAGCAGATGATACAGTGGCTGGTAAAGGTCACCGCGCCTACACCGCAGCCACGGTACTCCACCGAGATATATTTTTTTTAAAAACAAGACGGTTATTATTATTGTCAACTTTTTTACCGGGGTTTACCGCTACACCGGTTGCCGTGACAACCCTATTGTAGAGATAAAACATCAGCATTGCAAGTTTGTAGTAGAGTCATGTTGTTGTTATCCAATCCAAGGCGAGAAGTCTAAATTTCAGGAAATGAGACTCCAAAACTTGTTTTCTGAAGCTCAGCTGTGATATGGGACACTTCTACTTCCTGGAAGTAGTGTATACATTTTTTACAACTTACAAGGCATTCAGACTACTGCAAATGTACTGAGTGTCCCACACATTTAACAGACACGTTTATTTTGTCCAAACCTTAATTCATGTACAAAGATTAGACTTGGGCTGTGGCTGTTTCTGCAAACATCAGTTGTGTTCCTTATGCAGCACTCAGTATTTTAACTGTCTCAGGCTCAAAATAAGTTTTGATAAAAGGACGAACACCTAAGTCCTTCAGGGGTACTTCTGAGTTAAAAAATGCTCATGAAATACGTATGTGGAGGAACCAGGTAGGTAGGTTTTAATGTTGCTAATCTGCAATGACTGCCTCCAGAGGGTTAATGCGTCTGAACAAATAAAGAACATTATTACTTAAAGAACACAGAATACTGCAGCGCAGTAAACACATAAATGAAAGAGGATATTTCACAGCATATAACTGACATGACTTAAAATAATGAATTATGAAACGACAGCTTTGCACTATGTATGTGTTGCATGCAATCTGAAAATGATTAACATCTCAGGAGGAAGTGTTGGAGGAGATTTATAAGTGCTTTTAGAAATGTGACTTCTTTACTTTTAGCTCAGAAAATTAATAATATTTGCAGTTTTTAGCAGATTTTTGAACAAATTACTTTGCATCTTGATGGATGTGCATGAATGTTTCCTAAAAGGAGAAATAAAATATCAGCTCAGACTTTTGTTTCCAATCAGAGGACCTCCAGTGGTCACATTAGGAAGTGCATGCAACAATCTGTGGTGTAATCATACTGCCCCCTCATATATATATATATATATATATATATATATATATATATATATATATATATATATATATATATATATATATATATATATATATCGAATCTACATATTTGTGATGAGCCCACTCAGAGTTTGAAACATGACAAGGCAGCGGCAGACAGACTATGAAAAAAACAGAATGTATTGTAACCATTGTTCTGTGGTTTGCAGAGGAAAACTGACAGACCAAGATAATCCGGAATGTTTTTGTTACAAACCGTTTTACTGATTATTATCACCAAGCAGACGATCATGGTTGTACCTCCCTGTGTGTGTGTGTGTGTGTGTGTGTGTTGTGTGTGTAAAATGGCTCATGGATGGATTATTATGAAACTCTTAAAGTATCCATTGCAGCTGATTAAATTTTGGAATTGACCCAATTTAAGGTGCTGTCACAGCTAATCAGCATTTACAAACTCAAAAAAGGCTACAATACATTTAATTTTAAAGATATAGAGCTAAGATTTGATAGAGACATATTCACAAGTCACACATGATCACTTTGGGTTAAAATTCTGAGAGGGAAGGAGGCATATGGATGGCTTCAAGAAAGGCAAGACCTTCAGATATGGTACATTTTTATTATAGTGCAGTTCATATTTTATTTAATTTGAAAAAGAGTGTAAATAGAAGAATAGCTATACATTTATCATGGTAAAAACAAAAAACACATAAATCAGAAGATATGTTCCCACGCAGCTGAATACACCCTTTCTGCCCCGTCTGCCATATGATCAACAATAATCCGGACTTGAGCTGCTCAAGCACGGAGATGGGCAGCCTGAGAGGAAACAGAGGAAGAAGGCAGGACATGATCAAGAGATTTCTGAGATATAGGTAGGGAGGTCTGGAAAGCAGCTGGAAAGATGGAAAGATCAAGGTGGGCAAAAGGGAAACCTGTGCAAAAAGGACATGGGATCAGAAAGGAGTTCAAAAGAAGAAAAGATTATGATGTAAGGCTAGACTTTGATTTGTTCACATTCCACACATACATTTATTTAAACTTGCTCCCATTCAGTAATACAGCTGGTGATCTTTGCATTCATTGTCTTTCATGATGACCTTTGTCACACTGTTGCATTTAAATGTCCTCTGTTTAGCAGGATCAGGCTGGAGCTCTTAAGCTGATGTTGGACAAACACACAGAAATATACATCGCAATCCAGGTGTGTGTGTGTGTGTGTGTGTGTGTGTGTGTGTGTGTGTGTGTGTGTGTGTGTGTGTGTGTGTGTGTGTGTGTGTGTGTGTGTGTGTGTGTGTGTGTGTGTGTGTGTGTGTGTTTCTGTTAAATACTGAGAGAAGTAGCTCAGCAGAGAAAGTCTTGGTGAAGATGTGTGAGTATGCATCTGAGTGTGGAGGGATAACCATCTGCTTAAATCAAGCACACTCAGAGACAAACAAAACACCTTATTGGGAGGAGTGTATACAGAGTGTGTGAGGAGTATACCGTAAATCCTCGAATACAGGCCCGGGCCTGTATTTGACACAAGCTCATCAAGCTCCCGGCCTTTATTGGAAGGAGGACCAGAATTAGAGGCAGGCCTCAATTTGAGCAAAATGAACTAATGGTTCGCTGGAGTTTTTGACAATTAAAATTGCGCCCACATTTTCAAAGTTAAGCACATTTCTTTTAACAACGGTAGTTTCTGCTTCAGCCCCCCCCCCCCCCCCCCCCCCCACTCCCCCTGCCCAGCAGCAGCAAACTGATGCACCTGCAGCCTCTCGGAGTTCCTGCTGCTCTAAACATTAAAATAATTATTTCATTTTCTGTTCCTCACTTCTGATTACCTTCAATGGTGTCTGTTTGTTGCAACCACCAGGTACAAAAGCTAACTTGTTTTTATTTGACTATTTTTCTGTCCTGCCTGTTTATTATCTTCCTGCATCTCCTCTCAATCCTAAAGAAAAACTGCTACCTGGGTTCATATATATTCACCTTATGAGTTACCTTTGAACTGCAGTTCTAAAAGATCTACCGACCGCAAAAACAGCGGAGTGCTCGCTGGCCACATCAGTTAGGTGTGCCACCGAGGGCAAAACAGGTAATGCGCCCCGATCCACAGCAGTGAAACGCATCAGGCACAAATAAAAGAATAAAAGACAGAAAACATAAAAGGATAATGTTACTGTGGCCGTGCTCAGGACGCAGATGTCTGGAGCGCGTCAACGATCAGACCTTTGCATGCGCACGCTGGTTAAGGTTAGGATTGGGGTGAGGGGAAGGTTAAATTGCAAGAGGGAAACGTCACAATTTGGTTAAATGTCCGTTTTACGGCGGGTGCCAGTACCGACGCTCTGGCACAACGCGTTGCCCCCCGACGCGCAGGAGCTTGTCACCTGCTGACAGCAGGCTGCTGTCTTTTCCGAGGACTGCATCTTGCCGGTCATTATCACGTCAAAGCGACTAGTCGATGACAGGCATAAAAAGTCACTATAGAGCGGTGAAGTTGACTAGTGACTAGTTCATACAACCCCTGCTACTGCTCCCCAGAGTGTTCTGCAGCATAATCAGCACGTTCTCTTTGAACTTGATATCAAATTTTCGCCTCCTCTTCGTCTCCGCAAGGTTAAAGTTACCCTCGCGGTCTATCACTGGCAAATCAAAAGTGAGACGGATGACACAACCGCCCCCCGTACTTGCTTGTTACCACATTCCACCCGGCCACAAAAAGCCGGCCATTATTCACCTCCGCCGACTCCGACACCGACCAAAATATGATACCCGGCAGTTAATTAAATACAGGCTAATATTAGAGGATTTACGGTATAAGGAGTGTGTCTCTGGAGTGACTTCTGGTGTGAGTGGTATCTCATCAGGTGCTGGAACTCAGTAAAACAAAAATGTGTTAACTATTATGTGAAAACCTCTCCTTCATAAAACATTTTTCAGAAAAAATTTCACTTTTCTAACAATGTTCCTGTTTAAAATGAGAAACTGTTCATTTAGAATCCTCACGCTGAATTACAAGTTGTTTTATTTTCAAACTGTCACTTATAAATTAACATCTGGCATTAAAGCACAGATCCATCCTTTGTTTCCACATTAAAATCTCTGATCATTGTTTCCTGAAGAGTTCCTGAGAAGAAAACATAAAAGAGAAAAACAAGTCCCAGTATAACTATATATTAACTTTCTCAGTTTGGATTTTCTCTCATGGCAAATGTTAACTAAGAAGATATTTTTTGTTTAAAAAAATAAAAAGCGCAGGGCTAATCCTGCATAATTGAAATCACATTTTGTTGCTTCTCAGTGAAAAAGAACAAACACTTTATTTTAATTAATTTCACCTCTTTTTATTGTTTGTCAGCCATCAAGGCTATAAGACGGATGTATTTGAGGGACAGTTCCATAATAGCTGTGTGAGAAAATGTTGATAATTAGTGGTCTTTGTTTAATGATTAAAACAAACAATAATAATATTAACTAAACAAACTGTTCCTGTTGTATCTCCATCCCCTCACTGTCCCTGACTAACTCCTGTTTTATCTTTTTGCTGTGAAACCAGTAAATATTTTTTCCACTTGATTATTAAGAGTTAAATGAGAAAAGCTCTGTCTGTTTTTCTGCACCCAGGGTGCCATTCTACCTGGTCATCCCTTTCCAACTGTGAATGTCCCGGATCACGCTCACTACACCATCGGAGTTGTCATCCTGGCTGTGGGAATCACAGGAATGCTGGGAAACTTCCTGGTCATTTATGCTTTCAGCAGGTGAATCATTTTAATCTTATGGCCTGATATTTCTTGCTTTTTAAACTTCCTTTTAACAAAATATCTCATCGACCACTGAACAGATTTGAATAAAACTTCAAGGATGTAATAATTGGATCTAAGTTTACGGCTGATTCACATTTGGAATTCATCTGATTCAAAATGGCCACAACACAGCCAATTTTACAAATACTAAGCAAAACTTTTGTGTGTTAGTAGTGTGAAGTCATTTCCAATAGACATCTGACTGATCCCACAAGATCGTCTTCTTCAAAACTAAACCGTCATAGCATAGTTTAAACAGTATGTGGCTGACAGGCTTCCCTTGAAGGAGTGCTGTAGTCCTTTCATTTACGATTAGCAGCTTTATTGCATATTCATCTTTGTGAATACATTGCATTTTGATGCATCATGGTTAAGTTATTCATTGTCTTTTGGAAGTGTTTGAACAGAAGTGTGTGTTTGCATGATCATCTGCAGAAGCCGGAGCCTTCGGACACCTTCGAACGTCTTTATCATTAATCTGGCAGTGACAGACTTCCTCATGTGTCTCACACAGACGCCCATCTTCTTCATCACCAGCATGCACAAACAGTGGATATTTGGAAAGAAAGGTAACCTTTTAACTTGATACATGCAGGGCTGGGAAGCTGGTTTTGTCCCTGCACATATTTAATTGTTTCAGCTCAGCAAACAGATGAAGAGCCCGAGTAAATGCAAAATGCATTTTTTAAATAAATACTTAATTTCTTAAAAGAAAACATCTACCAACCTGGTCCTGTCTGAGAAAGTAAGTACCCCATGTTAAATCATGAATCAACTGTGAGCTCATGTTCACCAGCTACACCCAGATCCAGACAATAAGACCCTTTTTAGGTTTAGTTCAACAAGCAGATGTTTAAATTGTCAGACTATTTTTACATCCAGTGTGTGGTGTGTGGCCACACAGCAGAAACTATACAATACACATGAACTGATCGCAAACACGGATAGTCTGCTGTCAGATGCATATTGCAAGAGAAAAATGGGACGTCTGAGTAAACAAACATGGCGGATGAGGAGCTTGTCTCTGTCACCTCACTTTCTGATTGGCAACATTCAACAGTCAGCACACTTGTTTATCCTCAAAAACCAAACAAAGGCGTTCCAACATGTTCAATACGCTTGATTTATGATCAGAGGGGTCTCAGTGTGCTCACGAGCAAACTAGATCAATCTAAAAGCTGTTATAACGAATCTACAGAACAAGCTAGGTTTTGAACGCAAACACGGTCACCAACACTCACCCCTCCCCTCTTCCCTGAGACGCTTCTGCCGAAATCAGAAACCCAACTTACCAGAGGAAACGAGATAGAGCTCAACACCAGTCACTATTTTCTAGGTCCAAATGTCTTTGGTTGTCGGTGACTTCAAATGGTGTTTTTCGTTTTGGGACTCTGGTAGTTTGTTCTAAAGTTGAAGTGGTAGCAGCTGGCTGTTTCTCCTCCTCTGATGTAATTGGCCTGCCTGGAGCTGCAGTCTGCTTCCAGCACGTTTCCTTCACGTTTTAGACCATGAACACAGCTGATTTGTTTGATTTAGTGATTAATCACTCTTGTAAAAAACAAAGAAGGCTGAGAAGACATTTCAATAATTAGATTACGCACAGCAAGATAAGTTTCACTTTCGCTTTGGCCACTGAGAATTGCTAAAAGCAAACAAAACTGCCAAGTGTGCTTTTAAATAGCACCTTCCACTGCCCAAGTCGCTGAATATGACATTCACCTAAATCATAAAAGAACACAACGCAATGAACAATAAAAGCAGCATTACAAACAGATGGATTAGAACACAGACAATGAAGTTAAAAAAACATGTTACATAAAAGCCAAACGATAAAAATGAGTCTTCAAGCAACTCTGAAAAACCTGCAGTGATGGCGAAAGTTTAATAACAAACTGCAACTCATTCCAGAGAGCAGGAGCCAAGACAGAGAAAGCCCGATCACCTCTAGACCTGTGCCTAGAGCATGGGACAATCAGCAGCTCTTGCTCAGCCAAGCGAAGAGATCATGAAGGGGTATGCTATTTTAATAACGCAGCCAAGTATGGCAGGGCACTACCCTGGAAGACATACAACCAAACCTTAAACTTAGTCCCATAACCCACAGGAAAGCAGTAATTTTTTTTTATTTTTTTTATTCTCTCTTTAACCCTCTGATGCATGAATTATGAGATCTTCAACCATGATTTTTTAAACAATTTTTTTCATTTATTTTTAGGTGTGAATGAAACAAATTTCAACAAATATTTTTTAAAACATTTTGTTAATTTACAAATAATTTATTACATGTCCATCGCAGTGGACAGTGTGCATTCTGAACATGAAATATGTTGGCTTGACTTACTGAAGTCCAAATGGAGGGGCTCAAATGCAATAAAGTCTTCAACAGCTGTGCTTAATAGCAAAAATAAAGAAATAACAATTTTGATTACCTGTCCACTGTAGTGACCATTATGCATCAAAGGGTTAATTCAGAAAAGGAACACCAACAGTAAGACATGGTGGTGGTAGTGTAATGGTCTGGAGCTGCTTTGCTGTTTCAGGACCTCATTGCCTTGCTGTCACTGATGAAACCATGAATTCTAAAATGTCTGACAATCAGTTCATCACCTAAAGCTTAAATGAAAAATGATGATGACCTGCACTTCCTGAATCAGAGAACTCCAAAGTGCTTTAAAAACAGCCTTGCAACCGGATAACAACACAAGACACTACAAGTCCACTTCTGAGTGATTAAAAACAATAAAATTAATATTAAGGTTTTAGAAGAGCTTAATCATAGGATGGACTTTAACCCGTCTGAATGATGGTGGCATGGTTTTAAACAGGCGACTCTCAACAAACACAGCAATCACAGATTTGTAAACCTTTATTACAGCACTGCTATACTTTACAGTAATATTTACTTCAGCCTAAATCATAACTTATTTGCTACGTTTTTATGGAGACATGTTATGATTTCCACAGGTTCTTGCATTTAGCCTTTTCAGTGCAGTTATGTAAACCTCCTTCCATCACCTTTTTGTCTGACCTTGACGACAGCAGTCAATTTGCCTCTTCAGATTTGTTTTATTAACCACCCACCCACCCAAACAGCTGCCTCTTACAAAGGGCAGATTCTGGTTTACATTTGTTTTCCTTATTCAGTCAAAATTCAAAAATGTATCAGGAGCTATTCAGTAACTGTGCGACTTTGAAGTTGCAATACATTTTGATTTACCAGTAATATCAGCAAAGGAGATGTGAAGGCTTTCTCCAACAGAATTATGTTTCAAACCAACCCTTTTGAAAATCTCCTCTGCTGTGAATAAATGCAATCAATGGCAATTAGAGCAACACAAAGGGTAAATATGTGATTTCAGGTCAGATGAGTCCAGCCCAAGTTTGTCCACCACTTAGAAAGGAACTAATCCAAACAGAGTTTTGAATGAGTAAAATGTTTGCTGGAAACCAAAACATTTAATTAAAACCTTTTTTTTTCAGAGAGATTACAGACACTACTTTTTTTGCCAAACATGACAGAATTTCATAAAATACATCAACTCACGATGCAGCATTTGTCATGGTCTGTGCCTGCGTCTTTCCCCATGTGTCTCCTGATGTCCTCCATCCCTCTCTAGATTCCCCTTTTGTGTCTCATAGTGCCCTCATGTGTCCTTTGTCTGCGTCTCATTTATGTGTCTTCTGTTTGTTGCCCTTCAGGTCATCCCCAGCCCCTCCAGTTGTAGCTCCAGCCTTTTTGTCCCCAGCTCCCTTCTGGTTTTCTTCATGTTCTCTTGGCCTCCCCACCATATTTCTATAGGTCTATTATTTCAGTTTTGTATATGTCCTTCTCAGCTAGGTGTGTGTGTGTGTGTGTGTGTGTGTGTGTGTGTGTGTGTGTGTGTCCTTCCCCAGTCAGGTCCAGTGTCCTCCCCTGCTCCTTCCTGCTCCTCCTCCCTGATTAGTTATTGCCTTCACCTGGTTCTCTCCCCACACACCTGCAGCTCATCTGCCTCCCATTATGCCCCAGTCTATAAAGCCCATTGTCTTGTCGGTCCATTGTTGTTTGTCAGTGTTGTTTTGGTGCTCTGTGTGAGCTTCCTGTCCCGTCCCCAGTTTGTGCTATAGGTGAGCTCTGTTCTCATGCTCTGGATTTTTGGATTTTGGCTCCCTGCCTTTTTGGACTTATTTTTGTTCATCCTACAATAAAGGACTTTTTCTTTATATCAACTCCTGCCTCGTGTCATCCTGTGTAACTGCATTTTGGGTCCAAACCATCCTCTCAACGTGTCAGCATTTCACAGTTTTAATTTTGTTCTGCTCTAATAATGTGTTGCTGTGTGCAGCTTAGATTTACCTGCATCTGCAGCCTGCAGGAACATGAAGACAAAGAAAGGTTTAAATGTAGTTTTGTTGTTCATGATTGGAAAATATTCAAAGCACTGACATAGATTTGCTCTTGACATTGGTGGGGATGAATCTATACACCCATGATTCAAAGCTTTTTTATTCAAAATGTACATTTTATCTTGGAGTAATTTAAATCTTTGTACAGAGAGGAGCATCTTTTTCTACATTTTATAAATTCTGTCGTTGACCTCACGTTATTTTCAAGATCAAGAACAGGACATGACTCAAATCACAGTAGGAGGTCCTTTTTCAGAAGTCTGTAGAAACTTCAAATCAGGGTTTACAACAGGGTTTTGTGTCCAAAATTGAGAAATCAGCTCACAGGATGAGGTCAAGTTTAAAGGACTTTAATCAGCAACAAGGTTGGTCTGAAAACTAACTTTGCAGCAGAGCAGCGATTTATTGGTGCATACTGGATCTTCTGTTTTCAGTGTACATCTCATGGTTTTGATTGAAAGACAAAGGCTTCTTGTCAGATTTCTAATGTGCATCAGATACGGTCTCATGTGCACAAAACCATTATCCCAACATCTCCCTGGAATATCATTCTACAACCACTTCTGTAAATCTTTTGTGGTCATCTCTGATTACGCATTAACATCACCCTACACACACAGAAAGGATACTTTTTTCTTTCTTTCTTTCTTTCTTTCTTTCTTTCTTTCTTTCTTTCTTTCTTTCTTTCTTTCTTTCTTTCTTTCTTTCTTTCTTTCTTTTTCTTTCTTTCTTTCTTTCTTTCCTCTACATTCCTTTGTATCTGAGACCCAAACAAAGTTTTAGTGCTGTAAATATGAAGCAATGGTTAGAACCATCATGTTCGTGGGTGCTGGTGGTTCTTCACACAAGCCTACAATATAGTGAAACACCACTGCACACCTGCACTGTCCCTACCTCTCCAGCTCGACTGTGCCATGTTTAGGTTTAAATCTTGATTTATTTTCAGTACACAGTATCAATTTGGCCAATCTTGTCAGCAGTATTTGCTCAAAAACTTTAGAGAGCATGTTTGCAAGAGCAATGGGCCAGTAATTGTCTGAGCTGCCTACTTTCCCTGATTTGTTCTTCAACGCATGAACCAAAATAACATTCATCATGGAGTCTGAAATAAAACCATGAAAAATAAAGGCAGTGAAGCATAACCCCCAAATTCCACTACCTCCGCTCCGCTCCGGCACGAACTCCGCAGCAAAATCGGTCCCGTTGTAGTCAATCGGAGCTATTCCACTAATGCGGCCGTGCTGCGGCAGTGCGGCGCTGTGCGCCGCCCTCTGTTCCGGCGTCCGGCAAAAATAGAATCGATCCTATTTTTGCTGGACGCCGGAGCACCTCCGCAGTCAATGGACAGGAATCACAACCGCCCAACAGGAATGGGAGCAAGCACAACTTCCGTTATTTCACAATAAATCGATAAACAAAAAGTGTTTTTTGTCTCATATGCACAGGTTTAACAACTTTTAACAACTATCAATTGCGGCTGAACTTTAGATGCACAAAAGTAAGCCATAAATACAGTTTCCACTATCAAAGTAGTCACACTTTGTTTATCCAAACACTGCTGATCTCTCAACACAAATGATGGGCAGATTAAACAGTTCATTTCGATGCTTCTCCCACACAACGGGTGTTTGGATATAACTTCCGCGTTCATTGCTCGGACTGTATCGCAAGATCTCGAAAATCCCGCGCATGCTTGTTTGCGCACCTCAGGTCTCCGCACCGGAGCCGAGCCGTTGTAGAGCGGGTACCAGTAAAAATTGAGTTTGGAAGCGAGCGGCTGCGGAAGGCGGGGGCGGAGCGGAGGTAGTGGAATTTGGGGGTAAGGCAAGAAGAGGTGCTAACCATATGTAATAATACAGTAACAATGACATTCTGTGGCCAGATTTGGGTACTGTAGCAAAGTTTCTAAACAAAAAGTTACTACTTCACCCCCCTGTGAGTTTGGGTTTCATGGCTGTTGCCAGTTACGGTTCAACCCCAGAAAACTAGATGAGAAGCGAAGATGAGTCATACACAGTGTTGTGTTTATTCATTTATCAGACGCTTTTATCCAAAGCGACTTACAATTTATAACCTATAGGACATGTTATGATCTGTGGGGGAAACCGGAGTACCCGGAGGAAACCCACGCATGCATGGGGAGAACACACAACTCCGCGCAGAAAGGCTGCAGCCGAGCTGAGTTTCGAACCTGCAACCTTCATGCTGCGAGGCAACAGTGCTAACCACTGTGCCACCATGCAGCCCAACCACTGCGCCACCATAGAGCCCGATATTGTCATATCTGGTGTAAGCATGAGAATGCAGCTCATCTTTAATATTTGGTTTGTACAACAATTGCTTTTCATTTAGCTTCAGTTGTTCTAAAAAGTTCTCAAGTTCTGCAGCTCAGTTGAAGGAGGAGATGCAGCTCACCAGTTTGAAGCATCTCAGAAATCATCAGCATGTTTAACCAGTCTGAAAAACCTGAGCTACTCCTACTTTTAATATTCACATCTGCAACATGTTAATATTTGTGTGACAGTTTGAGTGTTTTGCTCTCATGTCTGAAAAGTTGAGCATAAACTATGTATGTTGAGTTAAGAATGTGCTGATTTTATACAGAGACATTTTGACTATTTCCAGAACATCTGCTTTTACTTTGGAGCTCGTCTGAGTTCCCTTCAAGCTTTAGATGTCAAACAGACACTCAAATGTTGTGATATTTGATTTCATGAGAATTGTTTTGCTTGGTGCGTTTTCACTAGAGATGCACTTGAGATGTCATCTGATGCTGGGAGAGGGGGGTGACAGGTCGATGCTGATCACACACTCACGGCCTGAGGTTGTAGCAGTTGATCAATTGATCAAGTTTGAGTGAAAACAAAATGAACAATGGTCTGGATCAGACTCCTACAAATATTCAGCAGTATGGAAGAATGCACAATGAAGCTGAGGGAGATTTTGTTATGTTCTGTTTTGGTCACAAGCAGCTTCCATCCCCAGAGGAATTTGATTTCTGCCATCACCCAAAAGGTGGGAAAGTATGTTTTTTTTTGTTTGTTTGTTTGATGTAAAACCTCTAATGGAAGAAAGGACAGATTTCATTCAAACTCTGACAATGAATCTAATTCAAGATGGCCACCTCAGCAAATACAAAAGTGGCTCAAACTCAGTCAGTAAATCACTTTGGTGTATTTTGTGCAAGCAAAATACACCAACGTGACTCTAGACTAGCAGTCATTTGTTATTTTTCGTGTGAGGAACCAGCTTCGTTACTTTTGTCCTTTTCAAGAAATTGTTAATGTCTCTCCCCATGAGTGACTTGTTAAAAGTACTCCAGATGAGGTCTACTATAACTTTATACAGCATTAAAAAACTCTCCTAGTTGGATGATAAGAAAAACCCTCTTTAATCCTACCTAGAACCCAGCTTGCTGCCTGGCACTAAAACATCTCTGATACAACAGCATTACTATCATAATCATGTTCCTATTTCACTCGTTTGACCACGGGACCCAAACAACTAAACTCCATCGTCAGTATGAGACAAGCTTAGTTTAATGTCTGCTCTGCATGAAGGTATGCTGGGCCTTTCATGTTACGTTTTGACCTTTAAACATTTGTTGCGTTGATGTAATAATAAATGAAACACAAGGCTTTCGTGTTTATATCTGATATACTGAGAGGAAGAAGAGGCTCCTTTTGACAGTTCCTTTTCCACCTTGGAAATGCAAAGTCTTGATATGAACAGACTCCAGTTCACACATCCAAACTGCCGACTTTCATTTATAACAGGCTCACAAAGCCCCACATGGCAGCTTGCTGAAGCCTAGGGGCTTCCACTGAAGGGAACTGCTTCCTAAAGATATTTGACTTTGTGTCCAGAAGTCTCCTTCAAATTGAACTGTCAGTGTTTGTTTTTTGAAGATTCTAGGCTCAAGTGAGCTTGACTTACTGAGCCTCAGTGACCCCAGAATGCCAGATGAGAATAAAGTATAGATGTAAGCAAACACTTTAAAAGACTCAAGGGAAGTTTTGAAATTTTTTAAATATGTCAAACCTTCAGACTGTAGAGTATTGACTTACCGTGTGTGTGTGTGTGTGTGTGTGTGTGTGTGTGTGTGTGTGTGTCTGTGTGTCTGTGTGTGTGTGTGTGTGTGTGTGTGTGTGTGTGTGTGTGTGTGTGTGTGTGTGTGTGTGTGTGTGTGTGTGTGTGTCTTTTACGTTCAGGAAGGTTAAACAGCAGATCTGATTCTTCAGCAGATATAAATTATTCTCACATCTGCACGATTTGTGCATTTTGTGCTCAGATGTTTGAGATGCTGCATGTGCTCATGGCTGTTCTGTTTAATGTAGTTTTAAATAAATAAAATCACGTTTGTTGATTAACACAGTCAGATGTGCTCCAGACAGGAAGCAATCTGTCATGCATTCAGTGACGTCCTGCCCCCTGACCTACAGGACCAATCAGAAAGTCCATTTTTTGATCAAAACAATAGATCACTGTGCACCACGAAATGTGGTGTCCAGCAAGGACAGAAAAAGCTGTGTTTACAAAAAATTAATACATGAAATATACATCTAAACAATAGTGTTCCTTGTTGTTTTCTGGTGGTAATCATGTTTCCAGACAAGCCAGAGTCTCTTTGTTCCAGACCGTGGCGTCACATGAAAGGCTTGTATGCTTAGTTTACATGTGCAGAAATTAAATTAGACTAAAACATACAAACAAATTAACCAAATAGTAGAAAAATGTGTTTCGTGAGGGAACGGTATTGTATTTTGTTCAGACAGAAGTAGAACATGACCTCAGTATTTATTTATTTTTTTCCTTTTCCTTCCCATCTAAAATAATGTGGTATTAGAGCAGGGGCAACTCAATAATAATCTGAACCGCTGAGGAAAGTTGGATATGGTGAATAATGAGATATTTTTTTAAGTAAAACAATAAAAAATACTACACCTGCACCCTTCTACTTTGAAATCAAAATTAATTTACAGTTGTTCAAATGATTTAACCTTCATCCAGAAAAAATATTATAACCTTCAGATAACATAAGAAGTAAAACTGGTCATAAGAGTCTGACTAAAAATAATGTTAAAGATAACTAATCATTTACAACATTTACGTGTACAAAGATTTGTTTATAGAAAATACTTATTATAAACCCTTCATAAACCATTTTTAAAGCATCAGGAACATAAATATCCATGTACTTTATAATTAATTCTGAGACAACTTTCAAGAACAATTCTACTGCACAGTGTGGATGAATATTATTTAGCCTTTTTAATATGTTTTGAATAATAGATGTGCAAATAACGTTTTTTATTATTTTTTTTTTTTTTTTTTGTTTAACCAGTGACATAACCCCCACCCCCTTCAAGATTAGGTCACAGAAGCTTGGGTAAGGATCTCTGAAAAAACAAATCAAACTATGGGAAATGAAAAACAAAAAGCAGGTGTGGTAAATTGAAATCTGGTGTGCAAGGGAGCAGAAAACCTCTTAGAAAACAGGCAGTGATGGAAAAACATGAAATAAGATCAAACATCATGAAAGCAACACAAACTTCATCAAGTCTATCAGTCAAACCATGAAATAGAAAATCAAATTAGAACAAGACAAACACAATCTCCCTTTGTTCCTTTATTTATGCTAACATGTTTGTCCTTCTGTGTTGGGAAGGTTGTGAGCTGTACGCCTTCTGTGGAGCCTTGTTTGGTATCTGCAGCATGATGACACTGATGGTGATAGCAGTGGACCGATACGTGGTCATCACCAGGCCTCTGGCCTCTCTCGGGGCGATGTCTCATAAAAAAGCTTTTGGCTTTGTGGCCGTTGCCTGGATCTACTCCATGGGCTGGAGCCTGCCGCCCTTCTTTGGTTGGAGTGAGTTCCACTCAGTTCAAACACACACAAGTTGAACTATCCTGGTCTTTTTCCACTGTCAATTGGTAATTATTTAAAGAGTAAGTTTCCTGAGAAACAAATAATACCTGTTAATTTTTAAATATGATGGCTCACAGTTTTGCATGCAGGCTGAAACTAGAATATGGTCTTCTACGCCTTTTTCCTAAACTCTGGTCCGTTTATTGTCTTGCATCTGGCTTAACTTCATGTGCTCTTAGATATAGCTGTTGTCCACGGTTGTGAGAGTTTTATTTTTAATTTTCTTCACTCTTCACAACACAAATGCTGCCTGGAACACAACAAAAATCCATTTTAACAACTTGTCCTGTTTCTGATTTCATAATAGAGTACATGTTTGTGAAGTGCCTTATGATGACTCAATCAATCAATCAATCAATCAATCAATCAATCAAAGATACTTTATTAATCCCAGAGGGAAATTAGAGTTTCAGTATACACAATTCAGAGATCAGACATACATAGGCTAAGACACATGACAAGAATTGGTGACTGTGGTCATTCGCAACCCTGAGTCACGCTACCTTAATAGAGATGAGAGGGTTACATGAGGATTGGTTCAGGTGGTAGGGGGAAAAAAGGCACTTCAGAGTTACCCTCCACAGTTTTTTGCTTTGCTCTGCAAAAAAAAAAAAACCACCTCAAACATATGCAACAGACTTCAGACAACACAACATAAGTGTCCACTAGGTGGGGTGGTGGGTTGGGACTATCCCTACTTCAGCTCCTGCAGCCACGATAAGCAGCGCATGTAACCTCAGTCTGAACGGGGGAGGAGAATTGAGGGTTGGAGGCCTGCAGTGACCCTGGAACGATTCAGCGGCCTTCCCGCAGTCCCGCCCAGGCTGGGAAAGGAGACAGAGTTGAGTTGCCATAGCGATGGCACATTCCACATATCTTCTGAGGGGGGAGTTTTCGTTGGAGCCTTGCAGGCTCAAGGGCACCAGATTCCGATTAGAAATTGTTTTGGGGCCAGACAGAGATAATTTCCTCTTTGTCTTACAGTTCCTTGGTCCTCAATCTCTCAAAATCCCAATAATGGACATTAAACTATCCCAATCCGTGCTGATTCGTCTACTCAATCCTTGATGGCATCCATCTTTTGTGCCAATGAATGAATCTCGGCCAAAGTTCCAAGCTTACGATTCATCTCGACAACTATGTGAGTCTGTGAATTCACAGCACGGTGCAATCCATCTCTGAGCTCCGGGAGCAGGCCAATATTCATCGACAGCTCGTTAATTTTCCGGTAAGCCAGGTAGCCTCCAATGCCAATCAGCAGGAAACCTGACACCAACACCACAAATATCCACACGTTTTCGGAGTCCTCCACAGACAGCTGAGATAAACGAATCAAGTTTCACTGTTTCCAGGAGTCCATGATGTGTCCAGCTGGGTCTGTCCCGGAGGGGCATCCGGGAGCCCCTTCTCCCGTTCTCATCGTTGAAAAAAATTTATCAATCGCGTTGAATGACCAACTGACGAGATCCATTTTAGTGATTTCAGTTTCCAGTTTCCAGAAAATTGTTATGATTTGGTGCTATATTAATAAACTCAATTGAATTATTGAATGTTAACAACTGATGACATTTAAAGGACACATATAATGTCTTTTTATAAGTTATAATAGTTTTATGGTTGATGCAAAACATGTTCATGTATCATGTGCGTATGAAATGTTCTTCATAAATAGAGCTGCCTTGCTTAGTCTCACATAAAGCAATTTTAGAGGTTTTATTCTGAACAGTTTCAATAGCTTCCAAAATGAGCCGTTTCAGGACTCTGTCACTTTAAGAAGACAAATTGGAGCTGGCCACGCCCACCCCTTCTAACACTCAGGCCGCTATAAGCTGAGAAGCTCCAATATCTGTGAGAGGCTCGGAGTAGAGCTGCTGCTTCTGTATGTGAGAGGTGGCTTTATTCTACTTTCTATTTTCCCCATTTGTGATGTCACAAACTGGGACTTTTTGAAACAGCTTGCTGTAGGTACACTGACAGAAAACAGTTTGACAGGCATTTTTCACTTCTGGAGTGTTTACAGAGGCGGTAAAGCACAAAAGGATAGAAAAGTTGAGCTTTATATAATGTGTCCCCTTGACAGCTTTAATACACTATAGAGCAGCATCAATCTTCAGAAAGTTCTCAGCATTCTGATATCAGATCAATCAAGATTTTCAAAGACCTATGAGCTGACATCATCTGTGTTTGTAGGTCATCTGGTGTTTTCAGCTTTACGGGATCATTGAGTTCATGTTAACAGCTAATTGAGTTTTCTCCAATTAAAGTGGTTTTTAAAGTTTTCAATCAATGAAAAGCAGGAGTATAAATATTCATGAAATGTGGTCATATTGTAGGCAAATAGTTTCTTGACCTGATGTGGTGACTTAAAGTGAAGTTATCATCCCATACAGCTCTTCAGATTTTAAAATGGAAGATGCTTGTAGAGTTGTGTGTCTATGTGCAAGCAGCTTGATGTCTTACGACAACTAATGAAACAGAAATCGCCCTCTTTACTTCCATGGCGATCACCAAAGTGTTTCTGTTCTGTCCCAGGTGCCTACGTCCCAGAGGGTCTGATGACATCTTGTTCTTGGGATTACATGACGTTCACCCCTTCAGTCCGCTCCTACACCATGCTGCTTTTTACCTTTGTTTTCTTTATTCCTCTCTTCATCATCATCTTCTGCTACTGCCGCATCTTCAGAGCCATTCGACACACAACGCGGTTGGTACATGCACACAAATATCCTCAAATATGCTCCAGTACACACACTAACAATCGCAAGCGCCTGACTTCCCGTTCCCAAGGTTTTCTGCTGAATCACACTATAGCTACACTCAGCCTAAGCACTAATGCTACGTAACGGGATAGCAATTCTGGTCTTACCTTCAGGATACGGTAAAATTGTGAATCCTGTTGTAAATAAAGTGTTTGTGGTTACAGAGCAATCTCAAAGATCAACAGTCATGGGACCAGGGACTCTGCAAAGAAGTTCCATAAATTGAGAAGTGAATGGAAAATGGCTAAAATCGCATTCATTGTCATCTTGCTGTTTGTCATCTCCTGGGCGCCGTACTCCTGTGCAGCCCTCACTGCGTTTTCAGGGTAAGAACCCACAACCGTGTTGACTTTGGTAGTGTAAGTCCCATCAAGCAATGTATAAAACTCTGCATGACCACTCAAACTTAGCACTTTATCTATGTAAGGTCTAATTTCTAATACAGTAGACTTCAGATCCATTTAAGATGTAAGATGTCAGTAAATCTACTTCAAGCAAAGATCATTCATTTGTAAGTGACTGGTGGCAGTGCTCAAAGTGGTAGATCCAGGTTCTGGAGGCAAGAACAGAGAACAGACACAGCGAGGATTTAGGATTGACTTCATCCCCATCAAAGGACTTGAGGAATACCGTAAACCATTTTAAAAATAAACAATGAAAGTTATACAAACATATCATTAAACTAGCATCCATAAAGCAAGACAATGAAAAGCCCTGGAGGAGTCTGTCTCTGTAACTAAAACTAAAGGATTTCCCTGAAGACACACGTCCCACACCACACTGTCTGCCCAGGTCAGTCTCACCACAACATCTTTATTTACTGGTCCATCAACATCCTAACACTTACCTACAGTCATGAGATTTACATCACGACCAAAAATCAAGACCCAAATAGGTAAAATTATCTTCCTCTACAGGGGGATACAGCCCGGCCGAATAAACGGAGCTCCTTCATCCTAGGGGAGCTCAGAGTAGAGCTGCCCAGATGTGGACACTTATACCACACCTGGGCAGAGTAGAGCCGGTCCAGACGTGAGGGCGGCTTTAGGTATCTGAGTGGGATGCCTCTTGGTTGAAAACCTCTTGAGGTTCTCCAGGTGTTTCCCACTGTGAGGAGAGCTTAAAGCAGCCCAAATAATAATAATTAAAAAAAAGAATAATTGAAATGATTATTTACTCTCTGACCTGCATATACATTGGCATCCTCCAGGATGAGCTGGAGATTGTCACTTGAGAGAGGTGTTTCTAGCATTTTACCCTGGACCAGTCCTATAGAATAATGCTAATATTTTCCACCACAAAGAAAAAATGCATGCATTCAAATAGAAATGCATGTAGAAATATTGCATAAGCTGCCAAACAAACAAAAAAATAAACACTTCTCTCATCTGCAGTTTGCTGAAGTTTTCTCTGCTGCTGTAAAAACTGTCACCTTCATTTGAGAGCTATTATATCTGGTGAAATCAGACATTACATAACAACTCTATTTTATCTCTGCAGTTGTAATATTGTTAGTCTGAGCGTGTGTTGCTGCAGCTTGATTATTGTGATGGTACCAAAAATCTTTGAGGATTTGTGGAACAATTAGAAAAGTGTGAAGGCCTGCTCAGGATTTAAATCAAAACTCAAAAGATGTGGGTCAGCCTGCTAAGAACACATTGTTTAGTTTTAAACTGGAGAATAAAGGATCAGTTCAAATGTTGTGGGACAACCTGAAGGGATGAGTTCATGTGCTCGAGCCCACCAACATCCCAGAGTTCCTTTTGTTCTGTGAAGAGAAATGGGTCAAGATTCCTGGAAGTGGCAACGCTTTTTTGGGAATGTTCATTGGAAAGCAGCTGTCACGACAGCCCAAAGAGGGTCACACTAGATTTTAAAAAAACATGCATACACTTTTTCCACTTCTACATGTGACATAAATAAGCATTCCTAATACATAAAAGAGGAAGCATTGTGTTTTAATGTGTGTTCATTTGTCTTTTTTGTGTGGTAAGAACAAGAATGCTCCCTTTAATTTGCCAAAAGATTCAAAATAAAGCTCATATTTAAAATCATTTACAAAACTCTATTTGAATGACATTTTTGATGACCATCTAGTAGATAATAAATGAGGATGTTTTTCTGGAACAAGTGGTCAAAAGGTCAGGAGAAAATGCATAAAAAATCTGTGTTAGTGCAGCTCAGAGGTTTCTTAGGACCTCAGGTCCTTTTTAACAAAACTGCCCTAATGACTACATTTTTACCAAAATTTTACTCATCCCTCATTGTTTTCTTCCTAAGATACAACAAAAAGATAAAAAATGTTAGCGCTGCAACATCTGATTATGCATCTACCGTAAATCCTCTAGTATTGGCCTGTATTCATTTAACGGCCGGGTATCATATTTTGGCCAGTGTCAGAGTCGGCGGAGGTGAATAATGGCCGGTATTTTATTGTGGCCGGGTGGAATGTGGTAACAAGCAAGTACGGGGGGCGGTTGTGTCATCCGTCTCACTTTTGATTTGCCAGTGATAGACCGCGAGGGTAACTTTAACCTCACGGAAACGAAGAGGAGGCGAAAATTTGACATCAAGTTCAAAGAGAACGTGCTGATTATGCTGCAGAACACTCTGGGGAGCAGTAGTAGGGGTTGTATGAACTAGTCACTAGTCGACTTCACCGCTCTATGGTGACTTTTTATGCCTCTCATCGACTAGTCGCTGTCACGTGATAATAACCGGCAAGATGCAGCCCTCGGAAAAGACAGCAGCCTGCTGTCAGCAGGTGACAAGCTCCTGCGCGTCAGAGGGGCAACGCGATGTGCCAGAGCGTCGGTACTGACACGCGATCGTTCATGTCGGCTCATTTCCTTTAATGTTTTCTGTCTTTTATTTGCGCCTGATGCGTTTCGCTGCTGTGGAGCGGGGCGCATCACCTTGTCTCCAACGCACCAATCACTGATGCGGCCGCCAAGCAGCGAGCACTCCGCTGTTTTTGCCGTCGGTAGATCTGCGTCCTGAGCACGGCCACAATAACATTATCAAATCAGGTGTCGCCACCTCAAAAACTAATTTAACATGCGATCGTTCATGTTGGCTCATTTCCTTTAATGTTTTCTGTCTTTCATTTGCGCCTGATGCGTTTCGCTGCATGCTGTGGAGCGGGGTGCATCACCTTGTCCTCCGGTGACGCACCGATCACTGATGCGGCCGCCAAGCAGCGAGCACTCCGCTGTTTTTGCGGTCGGTAGATGTTTTAGAACTGCAGTTCAACGGTAACTCATGAGGTGAATATAATGAACCCAGGTAGCAGTTTTTCTTTAGGATTGAGAGGAGATGCAGGAAGATACTAAACAGAGACAGGACAGAAAAATAGTCAAATAAAAACAAGTTAGTATTTGTACCTGGTGGTTGCAACAAACAGACACCATTGAAGGTCATCAGAAGTGAGGAATAGAAAATGAAATAATTATTTTAATGTTTAGAGCAGCAGGAACTCCGAGAGGCTGCAGGTGCATCAGTGAGTTTGCGGCCACTGCGCAGGAGGAGGGGGGAGAGGGCTGAAGCAGAAACTACCGTTGTTAAAAAAAATTGTTTAATTTTGAAAATGTGGGCGCAATTTTAATTGTCAAAAACTCCAGCGAACCATTAGTTCATTTTGCTCAAATAGAAATAGAGGCCTGCCTCTAATTCTGGTCCTCCTTCCAATAAAGGCCTGGAGCTTAATGAGCTTGAAATCAAATACAGGCCCAGGCCTGTATTAGAGGATTTACGGTAAATATGTTTGACCGCTATGCAGCTTTTTCACTCCTGTATCTCTGATCTGTTCAAGAAAAATCCAGCATCCCAACCCCTCGTCTCATTGGTCTTTCCCATTTTTCCTGCAGTCATCTTACATGTATATCTTCTTATCTCACAGGTATGCACACTTGCTGACTCCCTACATGAATTCTGTCCCTGCTGTGATTGCCAAAGCATCAGCTATTCACAACCCCATCATATACGCCATAACTCATCCCAAATACAGGTATGATGTTACAACTCAAGGAGCTTGCTGTGGTGTGAGAGGCTGAAGCTGTTCTGCGCCACAACAAAACTGAGCTTCTTTCTCTCTCAGGTCAGCAATCAACAGATACGTTCCATATCTGGGCGTCCTGCTGTGCTTCACTGGCAGAGACCGTTACAGAAGCAGCAGCCTCCAGTCCACACGCCGATCAACCCTGACAAGCCAGTCAGAGTGCAGAGGCAAACACCACAACTCCTCCCAGTCCGAGAGCGAATCAGTGAGTGTTCTTCATATCTAATATGGTATGTGTCTGTCCTGCGCCTCCTTAGATAAAAACTTCATATTAGGAGTTACTGATTTTGGTCTCATCTGGTCTCAGGCACACTTCTCAGACACAGAGGAGGATGGTTCCGCTCGAACACCTGCGAGTCGCCACTTATCTGTTAATGTCACACAGGTGCGCCAGGCCAGCCTGAGGTCCAAGGTGAGTGGTCACAGTGCAGGAGTGCTTGAAAAAAGTGATCTCCTCAACCCCACTGCCCCTGCAATTTGTCACCTTACACCTGTAGCATTTTTAAGTAGAACACATTACTTTTGTAAACTGAAAGCTCCCAAAACATACATATAAAATCCAGAGGTGGAAAGTAACGGATTACATTTTCTCACGTTACTGTAATTGAGTAGCTTTTTTGTATATTTATACTTTTTAAGTCGTTTTTAAAAGCTGTACTTTTACTTTTACTTGAGTAAGTTTTTGAAAAAGAATTGTAATTCGCTCCATTTTAAATCATATCCGTTACTGAGTAAAAATAAATTATAGGCTCAATAAATTACAAATATTACGTGTAGCAGCGTCGGAACAGAAAGAGACACCTGCATGAGCGCCGCGTCTAAACCGTGGGGGGGTGTGGGGTGTACACTTTTGCTCAAAGACATCAGTTCAGTTCCTCAACTCGCTGTTTACCTCCTCTCCTGTGGGTTGGAACCCGCACCTTCGCGCACCGGTGTGACGTCATCAGAATTCTGCTCGGTTTGGTAGCCGGACTCGGTTCCGTGTTTGAAATGTGTTTCTCTACCACTCCGCACGGCAGCGGCAAAATAACGTTTAGCGCTCATAACAAGTGGATTCTCAGCGCTCTGCTCATAAAACAGAAGACCTGCAGGCCTCTGTGAGTTAAAACATCCTGATACTGTTCAGGTGTAAACATTGTGCTCCATCCCTGTGTCTGAACTCAGAAGATGCTCCTTGATACCACAGATATGTGATGATTTAGCTTGTTTCTTTATTTTACTCCAGAATAAGAGATTAAATTATGACTAAAGCAGCTCAGTGTAGTTAAATTAGTCATTCAAATGATTCGAACATGCTGCAGTGTGTGTGTGTGTGTGTGTGTGTGTGTGTGTGTGTGTGTGTGTGTGTGTGTGTGTGTGTGTGTGTGTGTGTGTGTGTGTGTGTGTGTGTGTGTGTGTGTGTGTGTGTGTGTGTGTGTGTGTGTGAGTGTGTGTGTGTGTGTGTGTGTGTGTGTGTGTGTGTGTGTGTGTGTGAGTGTGTGTGTTACACATATAGGACTGCATGAGACAGCGTGGTTTCATCAAATCCATGCATCTTATATCTTGGCTGAAGTAATGGCTCAGGAAAATAACTTCTATTTCATAAATAATGACGTCTTAATAGTTTCTATGATAATGTTTTATCTTATCTTTGGTCTGGGAGGTGTAACTTATCATGATACAAGCCTTTTAAAACATGTTAAAGTGTTACAAGACAAGATAAATGCATGAATTTAAAGTTCATGTTTGGAGTCCAACCTTCACAGTGTGGAGGCTCACGCTGGTGAGGAGACACCATTAGTTCTAGTAACACCTGGAAGGATTCCAGTTGGATGATTGGAGGATTATTTAGGAGGATTGGAATGAACAAACTGGTTTCAGTGGTGAAGGGTTAGATGAGTGAGTGAACCCACCACCAAGGATGAACTCTGCTAACTTTAAAAATAAGCTGCTCTAAATAAGCATGAAGGTCAGAGAGGAGCTCTAGGATGGACATGGATAAAGGAACTGTAATGTAGAGGTAAAGTAGGGCAGGGCCAACGTTAGCAGCTGTCATACGGTCCATCTGACATGTTTGACTGCATTTAGCTTGTTATGTGACAGGTTAGAGCACAGTCTCATGTTAGAGTTTAGTCATGAAAACATTGAGACACCTCACATGCTGATGGCATCTAAAAAAATATTTTTTCTCAAAATAAAGAATAATTTTAACCACAATTGAAACTTACCATCATAGAAAAACCTCGTCCAATCAATGTGCACGTCCTGTTCTCACTGATTGGATAGAAATCCCTCCTTCAAGCTGTGCGTGTTTGAGTGTGTGTGTGTGTGTGTGTGTGTGTGTGCTCGCGCACACACACACACACACGAGCAAATTGTGAACTGGCGTTGTGATTTAGCACTGAGATGTAGCCATCCTTACTCTGACAAAAATGTAACTAAGTAACTTTTACTTTGAGTACATTTTGTTTACGATACTTTTTACTTCTACTTGAGTAAAAATTTAGGCAAGTACTTTTACTTGTAATTGAGTAAAAAATTATCAAAGTATTGGTACTCGTAATTAAGTAGGAAATTTTAGTACTCTTTCCACCTCTGATAAAATCATTAGATATGTTTTTCTCTATATTTTCTGTATCTGCTTTCATCTTCCAAGCTAATGCCTTTACTATGCTGCAAGGCAAGGCAGCTTTATCAGTATAGCACATTTTCATACACAGAAGCAGTTCAACGTGCTTTTCAGGTGCACCATCAGCAAGAACACAAAACATCAGAATTAACGTGACAACATGAAACTGCAGATTATAAAATCTAATTTTAAATACACAAAAAAGATTAGATGTAAGAATAAAATAAACAGACTAAGGTAAAGCATGAGCAGTTACAGCGCAGAAGGTGCAGCATGAGAAATCCATGCTTTCGTTCTTTTTTAAACACAGAAACAGTTTTGTTTACCTGTTTGTAGCTACAGTTTCGCCGACGGCTGCCGGCTTCTTCAGGCTGACGCTGATGGTGGCGCGTCACTTCCTTCTCCGTTTATCTGCGGGCAGCAGAGGACGTTGTCGCCCTCTACTGCCCGCTCTCCCCTCTCCGACGATGCAGTCCCATGCGTGGTCCAGCGTGTAAACTCCGTCGTCCCTGTTCATGGTCCCACATCCACGTCTCCTTATCTCGATTGCTTCCTTGATCCATCTTTTGTATTTTTGTTGTTCGGTGGTTATGATCCGTGTGCTGTCCCAGTCCATTATATGGTTTTCTCTTAAGCAATGATCTGTTACGGCTGACTTTTTTATTGTACTTTCTGCTTCTTCTTTTGCTGCTCTTGTGTGTTTACGATTTGCCTCTTTCTCGCACTCCTTTCTGTGTTCTATTGTCCGTGTATTGAGTTGGCGTCCGGTTTCTCCTATGTATGTTTTATTGCATATTTTGCATGGGATTTCGTAGATGACTCCACATTTTTGTCCAGCTGATATTTTGTCTTTTGGGTGTACTAGTCTGTTTCTAACTGTTGTGTATGGCTTTGTTGGTGTGTTTATGTTGTGTTTTTTCATTGTTGCTCTTATTTTTTCCGTTATGCCTCTGATGTATGGTAGGGTTATCACTGGTTTTGGTTCTTGTCTTTCTGGGTTTCTGGTTCTTTTTTTGGGTTGTTCTTTGCTTTCTGTTTTTGTTTGTTGTTTTCCTTTGTTTATTGCCCATGTCGGGTATGCGCAGGTCTTTAAAGCGTGTTGTATGTGTTTGTCCTCTTGTTTACGGTCTCTCTCTTCTGTTATTATGTTTGCGCGGTGATATAATGTTCTGATTACTGACATTTTGTGTATGGTAGGGTGTTCTGATGTCCATAATAGATATTGGTCTGTGTGTGTTGGTTTCCTGTATGTGTTTATGTTTAGGGTCCCGTCGGTCTGTCTGGTGATTTTCATGTCCATAAATGCTATGCTGCCTTCTGTTTCTAACTCATAAGTGAATTTTATGTTGCCCGTGTTGTCAATATTGTTTAAGTGTTGTGTTAGTGTTTCTGTTTGACCTTTTGGTATGATTTCTAGTATGTCATCCACGTAGCGTTTCCATAGTTTTATTTTGCAGTTTGGGGGGGGGCGGTGGCTATGGCTTTTTGTTCCAGGTCTTCCATGAAAAACTCGCACAGGGTGGCTGATAACGGGTTACCCATGGCGAAGCCTTCCAGTTGTTTGTATATTGTGTTGTCGTATGTGAAGTAAGTGGAGTTAGCTACCAGTCCTATCAGTTGTGCTATGTCATCTGCTGTGAGGTTTGTCCTTTTGTGTAAAGTTTTGTCTTGTCTGATTCTGTTAACTACTATGTCTATGGTTTTTTGGGTTGGTGTTTTTGTGAACAGAGATGTGACGTCATGTGAGATGAGTATGTCGTTGTCTTCTATTGTAATTTCCTTTAGTTCTTTTGCCAATTCTATACTATTTTTGCAGTGTTGGTCTGTATTTCCTAATAACGGGCTGATGATTCTGCTGATATCTTTTGCCATGTTGTATGTTGGTGTACCTATGCTGTCAACTATTGGTCTAAGTGGGGTGTTTTGTTCATGTATTTTTGGTGTTCCATATATTCTTGGTGTTATGTTTGCTGTAGGAATCCAGTGTTTGTACATTTTTTCTGTTATTTTGCCTTTTTCGTGCAGTGGCTTCAGTAATTTTTTCATGTTTTTCTTAATGTTATCTGTTGGATCTTTTTTAAGTATTTCATATGTATTTTTGTCCTTTAGCATTTAGAAAGACACAGCAAGAACACACCTAAGAAGCATGAGAAATAGTTGTTCAAAAGCTACATGAAAGTTTTTTATTTTGATTTAAAAGTTTCTAGAGTCGGGACACATTTGAGGTCATGAGGGAGCTGATTCCATCTGTGTAGCATAGTAGCTAATAGCAGCTTCACCCTGATTGGTTCTGACCCGAGGTTCTACCAGCTGACTGTTTCAGGATCTCAGAGCCCTGCTGAGTGTATATACAGGAAGGAGATCCAACATGGATTCTGGCCCCATGCCATTGAGTGTTTATAAACTAGCAAAAGTACTTTTAAATTGATCCTGTAGTTTACTGGTAACCAGAGTAGAGATTTTAGAACAGCACTGATGTGTTTGGTTCTCTTGGTTCTTGTTCTCTAGCTTTGTGTTTCACAGCTTTTTTGGGAAGACTAGTTAAAAGACCATTACAATAGTCCAACTGTTGTTATTGCGTATGACCCAGGGGGTCAGTTTAACTTTGTTCTGGGACAATGTTCAAACATTTTGAAATAGTTGATTTTTTGTAACGTACATGTAAACTAGGATAAACAATGCCATCTTATTTCCATAAGATCAACCTGGATCAACTGCACTCGCTGAGAAGAAAGCCCAGCTAGGACCTGGAGCTTCCTGAATATATTTCATTTACTCTCTCAGACCTGGAGTGTCTTTGGATC